CAAGGCTTTATTGTCATTTGCACAACAGCTACAGTGTAGATATGGCAATGAAATACTTGGGTCACAGGCTCCTCAAACAGTGCAACATATATATATATAGGAAATAGAACAAATAAAGCAGATAAAATAGTGCAAGAGAATGTTTTGAGATGTGCAAGTAAATACAAATAAAATTGAAATAGTGCATGAAGAGTCTATATACAAGTATAAGAGGTTTTATTTTACAACATTACGCCCTCATCTTGGCCTAGAAAGCTATACAAAAAACGACCGGATGTGAAACATAGGCCCATATAAGACTCAACCCAAAGCACATGACCACTTGAATCTGCTGCTGGTGGAAGAATTAAATCACGTTCTCATGATATATCAGCTTTTAAACAAATAAAAATTACTAATGAATTAATCTGCAACTTAACTACTTACAGTTTATCTCTATTGCCTGATGATAAATCCAATGTTAGTAGTTTAAAGGCCTTGTTTTTGTGTAATACATTTGCAGGTCATCATATTTTGTATTACTTTTATAATGTACAGCACCTGGGATCAGTTATTTGAGCCGGTAATGTCGGTCATGGCAGTGTAAGATGATTTGGATAAAAGTGTTGGCTAAATAAAATGTAATGTAATCTAAGAGCAAATGAAAAAACAAGCAGGTGTCATTTGGATTTTTAATGATTTCAGTTCTGATTATTCTTATTTTTTATTAGGATCCCCATTAGCATGGACATTAACTTCTTGGGGTCTGCACACACACAGTCAAACATACTTCAAAGAAAAAAACAGCTCATAATTTCATGCAATTCACAATAAAGTATGAAGTGAAAACAGACATGATCATCCTATTATAACCATCGTTTTATATAATACAACCAGTATAATACGAAGCCACAGTCCAATTATACTTTATAATACTGAAGTTGATTTTATACTATTGAATACAGTTCTTAACATCTCTTTTTCAGGGAGTCAAAACATGTCACATGCTTATTTCCTAGAAGGAAAAAAAACATATTTACGAAGACATTCACACAGATGTATATCTTTATTTACAATTCCCATCATACAGATTATTGACCCTGTAAGTAATCACTTGCACTTTAATATTGTTGCTGATATATTATGATATGATTCAATAATAATTCATTTAATTTCCATTCTCAAGTCAGTTGTTATTGCTGCAATTTGAGATGTTACACTTCCAGTGTTTGCAATGCCGACACCTGCAGAAGTGATTCAAACACCGCCCAATATACTGTAATTACAATCAGCCAGTTGACCAATTACATCACTGCACCCAAAATACAAAAAATAAAAAGTAATTCAAATCATTTTCAGGTCCTTTCTTTACAGTTTCTAACCATAGACAATGTGGATGATATTGTAAATCCTGTGTGTCAGGATTCAGGTCCTAACATCCTAATATCTTTGTGTAATTCCTGAAGTCTGAATCTCACTGTAAATAACATCAAACATGAATGAGCTGAAATGATGGTCGTACATTTAGTAGATATCATAATTCCCTGCCTGGTCTTTCCTTATTGCTGCTGTGTCTTGTTGACATTAGAGTACAGAGGGTCCTCTGGAGAGGGCTGGCTCACATTAGAGTAGGTTGGTATCTCTACTTCCTTCACAGCAGAATAATCACATGCAGAGGAGCTGGGATTGGTCATCAGTACCTCAGCAGCTTCACCAGAGCCGTTTCTAAAGTTGATGGTAGAGAAACGCAGCGAGGCAGAGGGGTTTGTGGGAAAGTTGGCGGTGGGATAAGTCGGGGTTATTGCATTCCTGAGTCTTGCGGGCACTGGGCGCATCTCCTCGTAGATATAATCCTTCCAGGAAAGAATAGAAAACGCAATTCATCCAATTCAACAATAAACACTAACCAAACAAGATGTATGATAGACATAATTCAATAATAGTTGAATAAGTGGAAACAAAGCATAGCCAGGAGTAGCTGATTTAAGATGAAATTACATTTAAAATAACAATTAGCTGTTTCAGTCGTCCCTCTGCCACAACAGCTTTATAAACACTTTTAAAGTAACTTCAGATATGTAGATTCCGTTGTGCATATCAAATAATAACTTAGGAAATAAAGTCATACTTTGACTGTGAAAACAAGAAAAGATTTTTCAGACCTGCATAACATATTTTTGACCTGGATACAATATAAAACCATGAATATTGTTAATATGTATTTATTTAAAAACATTCCTAAACATACCCTTAATATATTATAAAGCGACATCAACAGTGTGTTAATGATAATTACAAATAATACTTATGTTTATTTCATATTTAAAACAAAGAAGAAACTTGAGTCTGGCATTGTTGGGGTATTCGTAGTTTACCTTTTGCTCATTCTTTACATGAATCTAAACATCAGTGTTGGAGCTTTAGGCTAATACTAAACAGACTGGCTATACAGTGTGGAGAAGAAACCGTGTGTTGTTCTTCAATAAGGAATCTACTGGCCCGTTTGCAGCTTAATGCTATCCTATTATTTTCTCATTTGCATCATAGAAACAAAGTGACATATGTAATTAATAAGGCTCCTACAACCAGCTTGAATGACCAAAGTACAGAGATAATTATTAATGAACTCACCTTTGTGACGTGCTGTTCTGCTGCGGCATTTCTTTTATTTTTGGAATATCCTAGCAGAAAGATAAATCAGAGAACAAAGTAAACATAAACACAGTGGACTTTCTGTCTTCCTAATTTACAAAAAGCATCTGCTGCACTATTCAGTTAAGAATTGATCCTTTTGTATTTGACTATTTGAAGTAGGATTGACTGTAGACCTAAAAATCAACTTCCAGACATAACAAAAACTAAAGTCTTTAATCTACTTAGCCTTTAAGTAATCAGATGCTTACAGGATGGAGATGTTGTGACTGTGGTTCTGAGTGTATCATGTGCATGTTTAACATTTTCCAAACCGGTAGTAATGCTTACGTTTGTAGATCAGGATCAACATGATCACAAACAGCAGTAGCAGCAGCAGCGCGGCTACACAGATGATCACAGGGATGACAATATCAGGGCCATCTGCAAACACACAACAAAGAAAATATCAAACAGGAATTTCAACGAATTTAAATTAAAAAAAACGTTTTCCCGCAGCAGAAGGCTTAAGATGTCAAAAAGGCTCTTAAAACGACTCAGCAAATGCAGTAGTCGTTGAAGAAACAGGAAATGTGGTTGGTTTGGGTTTTGCTGAAACCAAAAAAAAGTGCATTGAAGTTACACATGCAAGCTTACAAATGAATGAACAAACAGAAAACAAAAAAAATATCATGCAGGAATTTCACCGAAAATAACAATATGTTATAAAAAATACTCCCTTACCACGACTCTCAGAAAATTAAATCTGATTTTATCAAATGAAAGGTTCACTCAGAATAAAAGTTGTATAGAGGAACATTTGGATATGTCTTTAACTGGGTAAACAAAAGGCAAAAAATGTATCAGAAAATATCTATATAGAATTAATTTATGTCGCTTTTAATGCTTGCCATCCAGTCGTTACTTTCTGGGGATATTCACACCTGTATATACAATTCTGTCCAATAGTTGCACACCTAGTTAAGTCAGAAGTAGCTGCAGACAGACAAACATAGATGATTGACTGTATTTATACAATCATATAAATGTGTATGTATTTACATTAAGGTCACATATTTAGTTTCTCACCTTCCACCTCCAGTTGTATTTTCCTGAGAGCAGCTCGGTATCTTTTACTTGATTCCTTTCCACACCAGTAGACTCCAGTGTGCTGTGGGGACACATTACTGATGGACACAGTGAAGCCACTCTCTGTTTCTGTGAGAGTGAACATCCCGTTTGACCTCAGAGCAGATTTTGTTGATAAAATATCTTCACAGATTGAACCGTTCTCTTTGCAGAAAAACTTGAATCTGGAGTCTGGAGTGAACTCTTTCTTTTCACATGAGATGGTGGTTTTAGCTGTTCTGTACGCAGTTTGATGTAATGGTCCTTGGCAGCCTTCATCTGCAAATATAAAAAAGACAAGTCAAACTTCTCTCTCTGTTGTGTTGGCATTATAGCAAACTGATTTCCATTTTGTCTAACTGGACAGTTATGCAGATGACTGAGGGTGGAATCATATTTTTTAAGTTAGCATGCATGTTACTTTAGTTATTGGAAAATGTGGTTAATATTTAACACAGTAACAAAAGATAAAAGGGACTAATTATAAAAGATGCAGCATTACTTACCAAGTTGCAATTTAACCATTGTGTACTCCTTTGGAGTGAGATTGTTGATCGGTATTAAATGTAAACTTGTACATCCCACAGTCATCTTGTGAAATCGGTTTGATAACCACCCTGAGACTTTCATTTTGTGCATCATGGTACACGGAAAAGTGTTCTTTGTTTTCCCACGTGTGTTTTTGAGTGATTTGAATGATTTGATCTCTGTGCATAAATACATTAATACTTGTATATGTTTCATTTGGTTCAGGGTAATCCAAGGTAAAATTAACCCATCCACCAATGCATCCCCACACATAAGAGGCCTCACAGCCTGAAGAGAGAAAAGTTTACAACATGTCAGATTCTCAAACTATCTCAGGACACACTTTCAGGATTAGTGAATAGATCAGTTTGTTGGTACAACTTTTAACTGCTATGATAAGATAACAAGACTCTTATTATAATACATTATTTGTTACTCCTTTAATTGGATGACAAGTAAATGATTTCTCCCAAATAACCTCTTTATAGTTAATACAGATTATGTTCCTGTTGTTTAGAAGCTGATATACACTGGACTACATTAGATCTTTTTTTTTTTCAAGGGGCTCTATTCGGTCCATGGTGTCTGAAAATATTAAATAATAATCTGTAGCTGGTCATACAGGCTTTGATTTGTGGATATATTAATAATGAGTGATATCCATCAGTTATAAACATGTATTTAACGGCCTCTTATTCTTACAAATGAACAGAGACTTTATGTCGGGGCTTTGGCCGGATGTCGGACTCAAACGCAGTAAAAGTGAGGCTGGAATAGATAACCAAAAATAAGCTTTTATTTACTAAAAGCTGATGAAAGAAACAGTTTAACAACAAAATAATCGGACCGGGCAATACAACCAAAACTAAAAAACGGAATATCACAAAATCGGCAATTATAGCCGCAGATTTAAATAAAAATAAATCAAAGCCTTGAATGACAGGTTATTTGAAACTGATTTGTTGATTTAAATACTCATAACGAGAATCAGAAAGTCTCTGATATCAGGACTCAGACAGAAGTCATATTTTACCTGTAATGAGCGAGAGGAACAGCAGAAAGCTCCTCATTGTGATGATCTTGGATGCTGAAATCTTCAGTGAGAATATTCTCTGCCCTACTTCTGTAACCTTTTTTATCTGTGCGTTGATCACAGCTGAGTTTCCTGAGATTATATGTTGGGTTAGCTAAAAGTACCCGCCCCCTTCCTATCTTCTTCCTCCATCTTTCTTCTCTCGTCCGTGTGTTTTTGTACTTTACAGCGTTATTACTATCAACCCCATAGCTTGTGCTCAAACAGGTTCTTTTTCCTAACTGTTAATCAATGTACCACTAGCCCTGGACTTCACGATCAAAATGAACTTGGTCTAACATTGCACTTTTTTAAAGCAATTTAAGCAACATCCGAGCATTACTGTTTATCACAATGCAAATGTAAAGTTAAACAATGTCACTAAGTAGTTCCCTGTGTTATTTTAATATTGGTTATGGTTGTTTAGGGAAGTGTTCTAGATAATGAGGTTTGATCCCTTTTGAGTTAGAAAGGTTTTTGACAACTAGATGAGTGTAGGAGAAATGTTCTTCCCTTTATTGTTTTGAAGAAGAATTAATGTGATATCAGGAATCTTTATTTAAAAAAAACATATTTTACAAAAAAACATAGAAAAACAAAAACTTTGATGATGTCAAGCCTGAGGTTCTAATGAGTAAAAAAGGTAATACTAATGTAGCTCTTTGAAAAGCCCCTATAAAGTCTCTAAGGAGCCAATCTAGAGCTGTCAGAAACTTCTGCTATTTTATACATTTTGTGTTCTATTCATTTATTTTTGCTTCTCTCAGTAAAGCACTTTTTACTTTGTGTAATTGTTTGGTGCCATATACACATCTGCAATATCAACTGTAGGATAATTAAGACCACTCGATTCAAAGGTAAACCTTTTTTATTATCAATATAAAAACAAGTTGCCGGTGTTCTTCTATGGAGCGAGGCGCTGTGATCAAAGTAAAGTAAAGACCTTTCGATGCACAACCAATCAGATGACAGCTATATTAAGTGGGGAAGTAGCTACATTTAGTAGACATTATAATCCCCTGCCTGGTCATTCCTCATTGCTGCTGTGTCTTGTTGACGTTAGAGTACAGAGGGTCCTCTGGAGAGGGCTGGTTCACATTAGAGCAGGTTGGTATCTCTACGTCCTTCACAGCAGAATAATCACATGCAGAGGAGCTGGGATTGGTCATCAGTACCTCAGCAGCTTCACCAGAGCCGTTTCTAAAGTTGATGGTAGAGTAACGCTGCGAGGCAGAGGGGATTGTGGGAAAGTTGGCAGTGGAATAAAACGTGGTTGATGAATTTCCTGAGTCTGGCTTCTGGGGGCGCTCCTGTATCTCCTCGTAGATACAATCCTTTCAGGAAAGAAGAGAAAGCACAATTCATCCAATTCAACTTTTCAACTTCATCAACACTTTTAAAGTAACTTCAGATATGTAGATTTCCTTGTGCATATCAAATAATAACTCGTGAAATCATTTCATACCAAGTACTAAGATATGTTTTGCAAGCGGATCAAATACTTATTTCCCACAGTTAAATGCAAATCAATTTTTATATTTTATATGATGTCAATTTCTGTGCTTGTGAATTGATGTCAGTTTTCCCCACTCTTGCGGGAATATCTCCGCAATGGAGCAAGCTTAAGTTTCAATTCCGATTGCATGATATGAAAATGTCTAGGCAAACGTTATTATTAATAATAAAAGAATTATAAAAAAATTAATCAATTTCTTTTATATATGTTTTATTTTCCATTTTTATTTTGTAATCATCTCGCGACCCCCACTTGGGGTCTCGCGACCC